GAAAAAAAGTTATTCAAAAATCATATTCATATTTAATCATAAAAAATATAAAAAAGATATTTCTGCTGAAAACAAAAGTTGTAGTAGTTAGATATGGCAGTTATTGATGATACCTGAGAATTTGGTGACCACGCCCCTTTTTGAAAAAAAGTTATTCAAGATTTGTAGTCATATTTCATCATATTTAATCATAAAAAATATAAAAAAGATATTTCTGCTGAAAACAAAAGTTGTAGTAGTTAGATATGGCAGTTATTGATCATACCTGAGAATTTGGTGACCACGCCCCTTTTTGAAAAAAAGTTATTCAAGATTTGTAGTCATATTTCATCATATTTAATCATAAAAAATATAAAAAAGATATTTCTGCTGAAAACAAAAGTTGTAGTAGTTAGATATGGCAGTTATTGATGATACCTGAGAATTTGGTGACCACGCCCCTTTTTGAAAAAAAGTTATTCAAAAATCATATTCATATTTAATCATAAAAAATATAAAAAAGATATTTCTGCTGAAAACAAAAGTTGTAGTAGTTAGATATTGTAGTTATTGATCATACCTGAGAATTTGGTGACCACGCCCCTTTTAGAAAAAAAGTTATTCAAGATTTGTAGTCATATTTCATCATAAAAAATATAAAAAAAAGAGGCAAATGCTGAAAAAAAAGGTTGTACAAGTTAGAAGTGTTAGTTATTTATTGTGTCCTAGAGTTCTGTGCGTGTACATGGCTTCAAGTAACAGCTATTGTTCGTTTACAAAGCTGGTATTGATACTTGTTGACGCTCCCTATGCGCTTTTCTCGGCACTTGGATTGAATGGATTTCTCCGCATTAAAACAGCGCATTGGATTTGAAAAATCGATGTTGTAGTAGTTAGCCTAAGTAGAGGTGATCATTTTGGCACCATTACTTTCGTTTAACAACGTTGCTTTCGTGAGATATTCATGGCGGAAGTCCGAATCTGTGAATATCAAGCTGACTTTACCGAACTCCGCAGATGCCCCGGAACACTGCGGCCGCTGAGGTGGCGGAATCCCGTTCGAGTGCATACAGCAGGTGCCCCGTGGATACGCGCGCCCCGCTCAAAAAATTCTCAACGGATTTACACTTCTCATAAACATGTGTTTTGTATGAGGCAGACAGACCCGCCCAAATATGGGCATTGGCCCTTTGGGCATTGCCCGGTACGCCCGATGGCCAGTCCAGCCCTGTTCGCTCGCATCCTTGAGCTTGGACTACAAATTCGAAGTGATGCACAGTAGAGGAGGGCTGGGCCGAAGTGTTTTGTTAGACGCCCATGCCCTTATATAGCAGTCTCGCTGCAAACACTGTGACGTAATAATTCTAAACACGTAATAGAGAATGGCAAAATCAGAACTGGTTGAAAAATCTTGCCTAAACAGAATATGAAGTGTTCTCTGCAACCCATGAAGAGACTGATTTCAACTTTTTTGCACTTCTAGAGGCTCCAACTACACAACATAATGCATTTAAGACACAAAAAGTGGATTTTTCATGATATGTCCCCTTTAACACCGAGATGTATGTAACATTTTCCTTCAGTATAAGTTGTGCTTGAGTGCTTCTTAGCTGTATAAGTAGATTGGAACCTTGTTTCTCTTTGGCAATGATGAACACTGCAAGTGCAATACAAGTGTGGATATTTGTGATGGGAAATGGAAAGGCTGAGTCCTCTTTGAAGTAGAGACTCAAGATGACTGGGAAATGTGTAAAAAATAAATAAAAATAAAAGTTTTTGGCCACATTTAGTCTGACTTATTGAAAAAGCCAGTCAAAATGGAGCGAGTGAGTAGGAGTGTGATTGCTTGGACAGGTCACTGCTGCAGACTGGCTGTACTTTTGTGTGCGTGTGTGAGTGCGTGCATTAACACCAACCCATTTTAAACAAGTTTATTGTGCATTTTGTTTACATTTTTATTTTGTATGCTTTCCAAATCTTAATAATTTTCCCATATTTTCATCAGTAGGAAAGAGATTGCAATTTCTGTTTTTATGTGATTTCCCATCTATTTGGGCCTGAAAAAGCACCTTACAATTTTTATTTGTTGAAATATATTTTTTATTTAAATTTCACAGCATGTCCACTGTAGTGGACAACAGGACGATATCCATGGAAAAAACACCGCAATTTAGAAAGTGAGAAAATAAGAGCAAATTATATCTTTAGAGTGCAGGTATTCACCCAAAAACACATTACATTTGAACGATATAAAAAAAAAGAGTAACACTGTTACAATGTGATGTAAAACATGTATTTTTGCCAGTGAATGGGACGATTTGCTTATCAATGCACATTTTGTCACACCTTGGAAGCCTGAGACAACCTTTCCTCATACTGTCAAGCAATGATCTAACTCTCCAAAGAACGTCCGACTCCTTTGCCTCTTTAGTTACATCCAAGTCATTAACAATCTTGAGTGAGATTTTCAGCTTGTACTACCCCTTGTCATTCTCCTGCTAATATCAGACACTTCAGTTATTTTAGCCCAAAACATTTTGACTCTTGGATTGCCAAGGCAGACAATGTGCATTGAAATGCCAAAGAAAACCTCTATTTCTTGGGCAGTAGTATTTAGTGACGGTCCTGTGGTTAGTAGCTGTCTTTGATTTGTAAAAGCTGCCACATTCTTAAAGATATTGTCATCGATGCACTGTGAAAAGCACTTGATTGGCCTCCAACATTCACGACTTTCAGGGTCATCTTGATAGGCAGGAGGCTCAGGTACCACAGGTCTGAATCTGTTATGATTAATAGAAAACAAATAAATTCAAGTAAAGAAAGTAGTAACAGTAAACTTTTTTCAAATTCAGTGATTTTCAGTAGTTCAGTGTACAGGCATATGTTTTTGCCTGGTATCCTCATGATGTGGGTTTGGCATATTTATTTCCAGAAAAAAATCAGAGGGAAAGGGTTAGGCTCTTCTCCTTCATCTTTCTCTCCTTCTTCATCATCACCATCCCCTATCCTATAGCCTCATACTCCTCATCCTTTTCTTCATCTGAAAGCTCCAGATCTGATTCTCCCTCAATGATCATGTAAAGAATTTTCTCTGCTTCACTCCTTGCTCCTACAACAATGTGCAGTCAAAAAATACATTAAAATAGTCCTGGTGTCCACTACAGTGGACATACATTAAATGACTATTCTTTAAAAAATAGAAATAACTAAACTGTTTTCAGATGTAAACATATTGTTATTTACATGTTAGTGGACAAGAATGTATATAAAAGATTATTTCACTTATCTCTCATCTTTCCATAAGATGTGGTTGTTGGTATGACAGCCATTTTGAAAGAGAAAAAAACCAATCACATGGCACATCACTGGAAAGCCCAGGATGTCCTCTACAGAGTACTACTGGACTAGATAGGGTAACTCCAAATACTCAATCAAGATGCAGGTGAATAAAATGTCCACTACAGAGAACATGAGTGAATGGGCCGGGTCTCAGGAGGATATACCAGGGCTCAAACTCATTTTGGTCGGGCTGATTATAAAAAGTACTTTTGTGTTTGAAAATGTTATTATGTGTTGGCTTCCAATTTTAGAAGACATTAGATGGCTTGGTTGTTTTCATTATGAAATTATCTTTAAAATTAGATATATGCCAAGGCAGACAAAATAACATGTTACCATCAATGATCCAAGTTAAGCATGATAATTGACAAAATGGTGGTAGTGAACGTATATAAATGTACCTATGTATATGAATGACGCACACACTATCAATATTAGATTAAATAAAATGCACAAAAATATAGTTTAAAGTTTATTTATTCTAAGACACATACTTTCTACTGGTAAAATATACATTAGTTACACTGTGTTTATTACATTCTATAATAAACCTACATCACAGGAACATGCATTCTGACATATCAAAGAGACAATAGTCAAACAACTCAACCTAGCCTAAAAAACTGCTGTTCAATTACCAGCTCTGTATAAAGTCGAAGGAAAGGGATGGTATCAGCTTGTGTTATTTAACCATCCTATAATCAGTATATTAACCAGAACAGAATGCTATGGAAAAAGGTGGATAATAAAATGGAATATTATATCAAGTTAAAGCTTGGGTACCACACTTTCAAACCACAAACAAATAATGCGATACAATCCATGAAACCCGTTCCTAGGTTTCAATAGTTTCTGCATGCATGGATTTTTGGCCTCTGTCACATCTTAAGATCATCTTGTTCATAAAGAAAAGGGAAAAGCAGAGAACCACCCTCATTCAGCCGATCATCTCAAATGGTCAAACAGTGACTCTTTCTTAAAAGTATGCAAAAGATAACATGTTGTGATCTGGTGTGTTCACAAAAGAACAACTTTTTGTGTTCGGACAAGAAAAAGAAATAAAATTAGGTACCCCAGCTTTAAAAGAATCTGCAAATGTTGACTGGCGATTACACAGGATTAGGGCTGGGCGATATGGCAAAAATATAAAATCTCAATTTTATTTCCTGCTTTGGACGATGTTGATTTTAAATCGATTTTCATTAAAGTCACTCAAGACAGACTTAGCCCTTACAATATTTTTAATCTTCCCGCTCAATATTCAAGTTTCAAAACTATTTTTTATTTGTTTCCCCTAATACATATTATAAAAGTCTTGTACAGACTGCGCTGATATCGCAAGTATAATTGATGTGCTGCTGGAACTCTCACAATATCCCTCATTCGATTTCACGATTTTCACATTTTTCACAAATTCGATTTTTTCAAGAGCCGATTAATTGCCAAAATTCGATTTATTGCCCAGCCCTACACAGGATGTGAAATAAGTAGTCGTTCTCTTCATACCGAGACGTTGAGATGAAAGAGGACCAACAGGTGCAGCTGTACAGAAAGGCTTTGATGACTTCAGGCTGAGGAGAAATGTTATTTATGCTGAATTGAGTGCCCATGCAGTGTCAAACGTCTGTCTAAGCGTCCAAACAGCTGCACTCCATTTCAAACAGTTTGTCTTCCTTCTGGTGTCAGAGGATGCTGACTCTCTCGGTCAGACACTGCACATCTGCGTCCTCCATGGTGCCCTCGTCGTCAGAGCCAGGGGCTGGGGGGGCAGGCACCAGGTGGGAGGGGTAGGCCAGTGTGTGGTCCCGTGCGTATGCCTGCCAGCGGCTGTCATCGCTCTCGTGGGTGATGTAACGTCCGCCCAGTTTGGTTTCCAGCTCCCGTAGATCCAGCCACGTTTGATAATCCTAAGGAAGGCACAGATCAGATTCAAATCTAAAAGCATCACAATTAGATCAAGCTATTTTTGTTCGTAGAAAATCAATCATCAAGTAATCATGTTTGTGCTATTTGAGCTCATGTGACCCGGACTAAGTGATGTCCCACTGTTTAGAGCTGCTGACTGGACATTTTAAATAGCACTTAAACCAAGACACAGAAAGTGTCATTCATTATTCAACACATCATTGAAGCCAGGAAGATGATCTACCTCGACAACAGAACAAGCCAATTGAAATTCATCGACAGACTGGAAGGAATCAAACATGTTTATAAAAAGGACCATTTCTAAGAATATTGGCCGTTGTGTACACACCGACTGTATGCCTTCCAACACAATACCAAGAAGTGTACACACTGTGCAAATTGTAGTGCAGTACTGTGGCCACATTATATATTTTGCTTTTGTTTTGCGTTTTTCTTGTATGTTGTTTTTCCTGTAGCTATGTGTGCACCTTCATATGAATGTTCTGTTAATGTTTATTTATGCGGTTCTTTTTTTTATTTTTTATAAAATGTATTTAAAAATATTTTTACTGACATCTAAAACAGGACATTTTTCAGAAGGTAGAGGGGAGCTATTGTACATGTTTATGAAGGAGCAAAAACCGGCGCACCCAGAGGAAACCCACACACACACACACACACACAGAGAACATGCAAACTCCTCTCAAAGGCCATTTCTGGAGGTGGAATCAAACCCAAACCACTCAGCCCCTATGCTGAGTAATTATATATATATATATATATATATATATATGCATTAATTAGGCTGTCAATCTTGTTTATTCAATTCATTGGTTGACTAAAAGTTGTATTAGTTGACTCATTACAAATTACAAAAAAATGGCGTAAACTGACTGAAGATTTAGATTTTTACTCTCAATTCACGGATTCTGAAAATTTTCTGTGATTTTTCCTTACGTAGTTTTAGGTACAGTTTATTTGGTCAACTACAGTCCTAATATATTGGTTTTGTAAGATCATTTTAGTTAGGTTTCCGACAGTAATCTGTGTTTTACCAAAAATCCTGAGAAGTGGCAATGAAAAGTGTAGTAAGTGAAAAGGATTACTTGAAGGAGAGTCCAAACATGACCTATTCTTATTGTTTACTTGCCTGTAGGTAAGTGTGGCTGAGACTCTTGTCCACGCTGTAGCGCTTCCTCATTTTGACTTGCAGTAGATTGTTGATCAAATCAGTTGCTGAAACAGAAAGTGATAACTTCAAGAATAACCATGAAGTGCTTGTTAAGTTGTGTTGAGAGTTTATTTATTTCATGTTCAATGTACCTCAAACATGAATGATCAGATGCCACTTAATAGAATTTCCTAACAAATCATTCATTAGCATCACTTATTATGAAGTTGTACATTACTCAACCTCAAAAGTGAGTGGCAGAAAAAAAAACTTCCCACCCCTGTGAATGTCATTTCGAATTTACATCTGGGTGTTTGGAGCCAGGATCAGAGCAATGTGCAACAACACAACGGCAGCAAGCAGCGCAATGATGCCACCCTAACCCTAATCCTGACGCAGACGTGAGCTCACCGTCACTGTGGATCTGTTTCCATGGGTTTGGGGGGTACATGAACGCTGCATTGTGAATCTGGTCGTTAATATCTTCATCCTCGTTAAAGGGAAAGGTCCCGCTCAGGCTGACGTACATGATGACTCCCACTGACCACATGTCCAAGGAACGGTTGTAGCCCTGGTTTAAGAGCACTTCTGGGGCAAGGTAGGCCGGCGTCCCCACGACAGACCGACGGAACGACTTCTCGCCTATGATACGAGCAAACCCAAAGTCGCACAGTTTGACCTAGAACACATGGAGCTGTGTGAGGGCTTCGGGTGGGATTTGAGAAAGAAAGTAATGTGATTTGATTTAATTTAAAGTGGTTACCTGGGGAAAGGGGTCAGCAGAGGCCAACAGCACATTCTCAGGCTTCAGGTCACAGTGAACAATGTTCTTAAAGTGCAGGTGTCTCAGAGCTGCGAGTATCTGCAGCGGCAGGAAACCACAAAGTACTGCATGTTAGCGACACACTTATTTACATACTGTAAATAACAAAACGCTAACCCATGAAGAGGAAATAGGATACCATACATTATTTTTTGAAAGTGAAATACCTATAACTCCCTGTGCTACCACCAGAGGGAAGGGTAGAAGTTGTTATTTTCCAAATGTCTAAATTACAGGCAGCAAACACAGAAAAGAATAATGCAATTTCACCTGATAACTTGCCAAAAGTAATTTTTGGCCACTACTTTTGGCAGGAAATTGCTCTGACCGTGATGTGACAGTGCACATAAGACATCATACTCTTAGGGGTCGGCACTAGATCATATACGGAATTAGGACGGAAGCAGAAGTAACAATCCTTCTTAGTTTTAGACTAATAAGTCCTTAACTGGTGACTGGTTAAGTTTTAGGTGTCTGAGTAAGATGGTTAAGGTCAGGGTTAAGGGTGGGTTGGGGTTATTCTATGGGAATGGCTGATTATGTTTAAGCATGAATAGGTAGTTGGTTATGTTTACTTCTGCTTCCGTCCCGATTGAGTATATGATCTAGTGCTGACCCTCTTACAAGACTGAGACAGGAGTTTTTAAACAGAAGGGGCGGAGTTACATGTTGTGCCAGAAGCTCCTGATATTAGGGTGGATAGATCTAAAAACAACTCCAGTCTGTTTAACAATAGGTTAAAAATTGTTAAAAACATCCTCCATATGAGCAGCATATAGAGTACACCGTTTTGTGGTTAAACCAAACAAAAAAAATCAAGAATATAATAGAAGAAAACTTAATAGAAGCCATTTGGCCTCTACAGTAAATCAGTAAATACCTGAGTGATGAGGAACTTGGTGAGCCTCTCCGGCAGTCGGCCCTTCTCACTAGAGAGAATCATTTCTAACATGTCACCGTGCAACTTTTCCATCACCACAAACACCTTCTCTGGGGTTTCAAACATACACTCCAGGTTCACGATGCCAAGATGCCGCAAACTCTACAAGGATTAAAATGACAGGAACAAAAAAACATTTTAGAAGTGGAAAGAAAGTCAACATAGGCTACATATAGACCATTAGAACACACATAATAAAGCAGAGGGGGTTATCAAATTATTTATACACTTAGCCTTTCATTAAAATGACATTCAATTAATAATATCCATGTGAAGGAGTTGATTTAATTAGTTTATATGCTGGAACTTGCTGAAGCACATGTGAGAAACTATCTCCCTCTGCTGGACATTGTCATGCAGCACTTCCAGTAGTAAGTAGAATATAGTAATATGTGACTCCAATGATCTTTTGATATATACCTGCAGTATGGCCACCTCGTTTCTCAGCTGACTCTCTTGTTTTGTAGGAAAACGCAGCTTGTCTATGACTTTGACAGCTACATCTCTTCCCGTTTTTCTGTGTTTGCCTAAAATCACAAAACACACAATCTACAATTGTATACATATAAAAAACATCTATACAGTATACATTTAAATACCAAAACCTACCGCCATACACAACTCCAAACTGTCCGGACCCAAGTACTTCATCAGCAAATATCTGGTACACTGTGCCGATATCCTTTGGAAAAAGAAAAAAAGAACATGCATATAATTACACACGCACTACACGCACACACACACACGCAGACACAAACACACACACAAACACACAAACACTAGAAATGGATGCTCAGAAAGATTATGTTCAGTGTAACGTACCACATTTTCTTGGATTTGACTGTTGGAGACAGAAATGCTAACAGAAGCTTGTCCTGTGAACAGAGGCCGCATCAGTCATGTGCACACTTCTACTTGTGTTAAACATTGAGACCAGAAGGTTCCCTCACGGTGTGGCGTGTTGCCCTCAGCAGGAGGGGCATCCTGAAAGATCACAGGCATCAACGCCTGGCGAATGGCGCTCTCCCAAGACTTGGCCACTTCACGACCAATGCCGCTGTTAGGGGCCACCTGGCTGGGAGAAGGGGGTGTTTTGGGGACTGGCTGAGGGTCACTTAGGGGCAAAGAGGAAGCAGTGTTGGGGTCTTCTCCAACAAAGTAAGACATTGCGCCAGTGATCAGTTCAAAGCAGTGAGGGTTTGCTGCAGGAGGGACCAGGCTGAAGTTTCCAGCAGGGCGCACCTCAAGGATCTCAGAAAGGGGAATCTCCTACAAGAGCAAGAGAATAGAACCATGACCACAGATCAGACTCGGCTCCGAACGTCACCATGATTGTGCATGATTAGTGCATGGGCTCACCTTGTAGTATTTATTGGAGGTGTTATTCTGAAATAGGATGATGCACTTACAGTCCAGGCGCCAATAGTGTCTCTTTCTCTGATGGGGCGGAGCAACACAGGTAGAGCAGGACATGAGTGCAGGGGCTTGACAACAGGGCAATAACATTCTGTGCTGAGTGGTAAAGCAAGGATTGAAGCCGTGATGATACAGAGAGAAATGGGCAGAAAGGCAAACTGCATGATGGGAGAATGAAAGAGAAGAGACAAGGATAAAGATAAGAATTTGGAGTCTCTTAGATCGAGTGCACCACACAAACGCAGAGTGGCTTTTAGTATCAATTTATACAAGAAAAGGAAACAAAGATGCTTTTAAGAGATGGACTATTATCAAAGCTTTCAGGATTGTGTAAAAATAAGAGAACTGATTGGTCTAGCTTTACTAAAGCAATACAAAAGACAGGGAGTCATACCAGTGTGTCCTTATTGCTGTAGTGAACCATCCACCCTTCCTTTATGGAGGTACTGGAACGACGCGTTGTCTGCCGTATAGACTGGACAACCCTCATTAATGGGATGTATATTGCACTTAAATATAAAAACATGGATTAGTATTAATATTCAAGTTTCTGTTCTTATGTCCCAGTTTCATCTTGTACCTCTGGTCTCTGTTGGATCCGCCCTGGTTGTTTTCTGGAGAGAAGGATCCTGGGATACTGCAGGCCTCGTCCGAGTCATCCATGGACGACTTATCTGAACCATCGTACTCACTGCTGAAGTCCATGGGAACCTCCGGATCCACACTCGGACTCATCACATCTAGAACACATACACGCGCACACACACACACACACACACACACACACACAACACACACCCTCATTAGTGTTTAGACACATTTTTGCGCACATGCAGTGGTTAATGATCTACATTTGCAGACGCACTACTGTTAGACACGTTAATCAAATAGATTATGGTTTTTCGACTCAAAAGTGTACAATGCATTGGGTCCAAGTTTAGTTTAGAAGCAAGGAGGGAAACTTTATTCAGACTGAAAAGTATGTCAACAAAATATTAATGCAATATTTTGTACGCGACAAACACGCATTTACTAAACAGCGGCATGCATCCAAATGACATGCTTTAGCACTTACCAGAGTTACTTCTGCTGTCTAAGAAAAATAAAATAACGTTGTGTCAGGAGCCTTGTTCGAAAACAAACTAATATAAGTACATTTAAAAAGCCCTAAAAGACACACGTTTATACTGAGTAAATGTAGAGGAGGGTGACGGTTCTTACCAATGGTTTCGCCCAGGCAGTCATTGGGAACTTTGTAAGCACAGCGTTTATGGCAGTTAAACTTGCAATCTGAAAAAAAGGTTTATTTTAACACTGCATACAATTTGTGACTTGTGAAAACAGTAAATCCCTCAGATAAGCCTTCACCTTTGCACTGCAGACCTTGCCTGAAGATACCTCTGAGAAGTCTCTTACAGTACTGGCAGACTGTGGGTCGGGTGTAAGAGTGAATGGCAAACGTGTGTGGCACCTTCACTTTCGTCATATAGATTTTGTCCAAATGAACCGGCCGGCCTATATACAAGCGCCGGGCATCGCTTTGTGTGCGTGGCTGAGAAACAACACAAAGGCAATGGATAATAAATACATGTAAAACAGACAGAATAGAAACTAAATAATACAATGTAAGTTCAATGATCAATGTATTATGGAATGTCCTATTTTACAAAGAGTACCATTTGTGTGTGAGAGCGGACGAGGCTGGTCTCCTCTGTGGCCGAGGAGGAGGTGGTGCCCACGCTGTGTAAAGACTCTGTGATGGACAGGCGCAGCGATGGATTGCTGCTCAGGGACGTGGTCGACAGGCGCCGCTTGCGGGCCCCACTGCAGTTATTAGGAATACTGAAGGCACAACGCTTATGGTAGTTCAGGCCACATCCTGTAGATGGAGACACAGATCACTCATCCATCATGTGATTCAGGCAGCTCTACAAAAACGTTATTATTATGAAATGGCTTGTGTTCATGTGACATCACAACATTCAAAAGGAGCCTGAAGTTTAAAATTGTGGTGGAGGACAGTTGAAAAATTGTTGCGGGTAACTAGTCTAGTCTTAGTTCATAGTAGAGTTTCGTTCGGGCCTGAAAAATCAAACCCGACCCGGCCCGAGCCCGCTAATACTAAGCCCGAGCCCGTATAAGCCCGACCAATTAACGCTGTATAACAAGCCCGAGCCCGACAGAACCCGACGCATCTGATTTCCCTTGTTGTGCGCACTCATCTTCCAATTGCAAGTTTAGCCACTTCTGAATGTGTTTTGTTCCTCCACTCGATCCATTTCTTTTAATGTTCCGTGTGTTCGCTGTTGACCATACAATTCAACAGGAAAAACAGGGATGATGCGTTCACGGCCTGCTGCGGCTGTAGGACACGCCGGTTACGGTGTTATAAATATATTAACTTTTTAAATAACTTGTTGTCAATCAACGGACATTATTATTAATAAATACATATATGCATATCATTAAGTATAACAATGATAAAAAAAAAAAAAAAAAGATTAAAAAAAAGGAGCCCGAGCCCGGCACAGCCCGACTGCTGAGCGCTAAAATGAGGCCCGAGCCCGGCCCGAACTTGGGGTCGGGCTCGGGCCTGCTCGGGCTTGGGCTGAAAAGCGAAACTCTAGTTCATAGCTAATTTCTGTCACTACATAACAATTATGGTCTAAATATTTTTAATTATGGTCTAAATATTTGATGTTGGCCAGTAGAAAGGACTAAGCCTTATAATTTTATGGCAGGTTTGTGTGTGTTTGTCACGGTGAATGTATTAATGTTAGTGATGAATGATTTTATTAACTCTGTATATTGTAATTATTATCAATCTTTATTAAGGACACAATACAATAAAGTGCATAGTTAAAAGAAAATATAATATGTTGCACTGTAGGGAAAAGCTCAACCAGGGACAGGAGTTGAAAATTGGCATTAGCTACAGTCGCATCAGTTGCATCTGTCCTGCTGTAACTATGTGCTAGTATGTATTCTTTGGGGTTAAGGGAATCCAAATCTTGCTTTTGAATACGGCGATAAGAAAAACACTACTATCAGACATGGCTACCTTAAATCTAGATATTTTTACCAAATAAAAAAGAGGGTATTGTTGGCGTGAATGGCAGAGGCCTTCTCTGGGTCCTATCTCCAAAGCACCTCCTTTGGTCGAATCTTTTGTTTATGTCTGTATGTAACTTTTAACGGTTAGGTATCATTAAATATCCACTTTGATTATTATGATTATGTAATATTTTCATGATAACACTATGTATGACTACATTGTCCCTGTCAAATAAATAAATCAATACAAAAAAAATCTACAAAAAATCGAATAAGGATCTGGTAACAATTTCTTTAAAAAAATTGCCTCTTTTCCTTAGAGTTGTTATAGGCCCTTTTCTCCAAATGAAATGGGATTCTAGATCAAATGTCGTGTTCTAAATGATCGTACCGTCACACTTGAGCCCCTGTCGTACCAGACCAAACAGCATCTCTCCGCAGTGATCGCAGAAAGCAGGCGCCCGGTATGAGTGAACATTCAGCGCATGGGGTCGTATCCGAAAATCTTCAAATGTGGCTGCGGCTGCAAGACAGACGTGATCATGAAACAGTATCTGGTTTGACTAAAACATAATTAGCGTGTTGATTTGACTGGAGGAATGTAGTTTGCATACCAGAGAGCACCACCTCCACCAGGTCCCCTTCTTGAATGTCACTTGCACTTTTAACCAGCTGCAAGATGTTGTTGGTGGCCGTGTCATGCTTGAAGAGAAGAATCTTGTCGTAAATGCCATAGAATCCGCACTCTGGGAACTGAAAAAACATTGTAGATTTAGAGAGGCATTGTGTTTAATGACATTTCTTCCAACAATACACCCAACTCTATTGAAATGCAAATAATGGTATTCAGTGCGGGTGGGCTATTACGTCCATTATCGATTGGCAACATTGTGCTGAATGTCAAGCATCTGTCAGGGAACAGAGCACTTCAATTGGTGGGTTTAGCACTTTATTGCTTTCAGTATATGCTTGCTTTCAAATGTCCTTGTTTCACAGAGTCAATTGTTTTCTTATGAACTCTTAAAAGTGTTTTATATTGTCATCTTAGCGTTTTGTGGTCTGGGTATCTTTGCACGAATATTTCAAAGTGGTTTTTAATGGCCAATTAAATCTGAACCTGAAGGTATTAGATTTGAAGCAGGTTTTAGACTTGTGTGTATTTAAGTTACAATCAGGGACAGGATTTAAACTTAGAACTCACTAAATATGGTATGCATTTCCATATTTGTTTTGTAACGTTGGCTTAATACAAAACAAATCTGCAAATCTCTGCCAAATAAAATCAAATAAAATTATGATTGTTTAATACATTACAAATATACATACTTGTTGGCGTTTCACTGTACGTCAAGATAGACCAGTCAATTAGAAAATATCTAATTGGAAATATGAACACCAAAACCAATACATTGACCTCACATGTCTCATAATCTGAGACACAGTTCATGTCATCATCTTCTTCATTGAGGATTATGAAAGCACACACGCACGCACACTCACACACACACACACACACACACATGCACACACACACACACACAAAGGACTTCATAATATCTGAATAATCAACTTGCCACTCAGAGTAGCCAAGCAGAGGAGGCTGCCATTGGGAAACCCTGTCCAGCTAAATAGTTAATGCCGTCTGGTTCACTTCACTGACCACACCGCACAAGATACCACTGCTACACCGAGACACACACAGACCAAGAACAGGAAACGGTTTTTAAAAATAACTCCACATTGCACGCTATAGCATTGCCAACAAAGATATGAAGAGAACGACAATCGTGCAAAAATATAATATCAAGTCAAACTCGTCAGATTTCCAGGTTTCCACCATGAGCCAGCACAACACACAAACAGCCACACCCTCTCTGCAAAACACAGGCCTCTGATTTCCCCTTATTTTCTCTCCCTGGCTTCAACAGGCATGGCCACATCTGACATCCAGGCCCTCCCTGCACAGCTGCCAGGCTGCACACTCCACCCACATGGAGGAGAGCTGCTCTAGAGACTCCAAAATGTTTATCAGGAATCCACCACTTACTTTTTAAGGTCAAACCAAGAGGCCACACGACTCACTTTCTATAGATTAAAAAAACAAAAACATATTCTTTATTTATCCCACCAGGGACAATACAGAAAATGAAGGAGATCTCAGGTAGAATAGCTCCTGCAATAAGTCAGTAGCTAATGAGGCTCTCAATAAAATGAAATTAAATACGTTTGAGCGTTTGTGCAAAAGCAATAGGTTTAAGAACTCTTTTGTACCTCAGTCCATACAGCTGCTGAATAACATCAGGTGATTGCGCATTAGTGTCAACGAATGTTATGTGTGTATTGTCTTTTCTGCACAGGGCAAAAAAAACATAAAAGCACAGGAAATATCAGACAGTAACATAAGCGATATGACAAGAAATGGATCCATACAATACAATACAATTTATTCTTGTATAGCCCTAGGTCACAACAGAAGTCATCTCAGAGACTTAACAAAACCATTGAAATCACCAACACAGGTCAGAGAATCAACAGTTAAAACACATGAAGAATATAAAGCACACATAGAAGAAAATGTCCATACATGTTGTAGAATGCTAAAGTGTCCTGATCATCACCAATCCTTTCTGTTGGACACTAACTGTCCAACAAGACCATCTGAAAATAATAGCATAATATAAGCTCGAACACCAAAGCCCATTCCACCAACAAGCTACAGAGAATTCAGCAGTCCAATAGCAGAAAAATGTAAGTGATGATTGGTTTTTACAATATGGTGCAACATTGTCTCTCTCACGATCCGCTGGTTACAGAGAGCCGACAGTTCCCTCTAATAATCTGTGATGAAAGTGAGCATCGAGCCTTTTCTTGTACTTACAGAACAAAAATATGTATTTCAGTTGAACAACGATGAACTTCTGCGAAGTAGCGGCCTTCAAACATTCAGAGAGCAGACACCACTAGCATTCCCCAATTTTCCAGTTTTTTGCAGTTTTAGCCCTGAACATTTTGATTCAAAATAATTAGCAATGAACAAATACTGCAACTATCAATTTGACTAAACAACGAAAGACAGACATCCCTACTGGTAACAAGCACACCGTTGAATAGGGTTTTACTACTATCTGAAACTTGTGAGACGGGCTTCTTCTCTGACAATGTTGAGATCCAGGTTCAAGGCGGTTCTGTTTGCCTGTGCATATAAGTGAAGCATTTTTATCTCTACTCTTTTTAACGCATCGTTGTTATTCATTATCTTAATTGTTTGTGTGATTTTAGTGTTTTTAATTACCTTTATGGTTTTAATTGTGTTCTTAAAAGGTGATTTTGGTGTTTCTGTTTTATGCGATGTGTGAAGCGCTTTGTGTTGCCCTGTGTACGAAAGGCGCTCTACAAATAAAGATTGATTGATTGAAAACAGAAGCCTGTGAATGCGGGTCATTGTCCAAGATTTTTGTTTTTAAATTTGCAAGCTTCCTCTGGTGAGATAGACTGATGATTCATTCACAGTTCAGTGTTTTATTTTTATTTTGAATTCACATATTTCCATAATAATAATAATAATTTAGTTTAATCAACTGCTAATGAAACAATATATTCCTACAGTTCTCATGTCATGGTTGAGATACGGTGGAACTCAAAAGACTCAGGGGTATATCAAGGGTTTTTAGTGAGTGCAAAAGTGATTGGTGCAAACTGATTTAGGCTCCGTAAGCAACTAAACTGCTAACTCTGCACCCACTATTATATTTTAAGGTGAGATGAAATAGGTGATACCAGTACTATTACCTGGAAAGCTTAGGGACCTCTGGTATACAGTAGGTCATCTCCAGCTACAAGTACCACACATTTTACTACTTACCCTACAAGTTACAGAGAGACAAGTCCAAATCCATACTTAGTCCTGGCCACAAGAGTCGTTTTCTGCACACAAGACTTTTCTCCTATGAAAAGCGGGCCAAGAAAAAGTCCTTTCCAAATCATACAGAGTCAACCACACAGCAGTCACGGTGTCTGTGGAGCAGTGGTTCTGGTTTCTGAGAAATCACAGTGTCCCCAGTCCCAGAAACCACAACCAAATAGAGCAGTGGCTATTCTCAATGTTTATCTGATATATTACATTATGGTGTGTGTGGAGTGAAGACAAAAGGCTGTAAGATATACTGTAGCGTGTCTGCCTGAAGCTAGGGCTGTGTCTATGAGCACCTTTTTGGGTTACCAGGGATCAGGTTGCTGGTGCTGTACATTGTATTCCAGTTGCTCTTCAGCCCGTGAAGCCCTTATTATGAAGGAGATGAATTATGGACAAGTGCTCTTTTAGCCCAATTTACTCCAGCTCACCCTTTGTTTTTCCACTTTACTACTATTTCTACCAAAACAATTGCTATTACTAAAATAATAATAAACTAATTATAGTAGCGGTAACAATAGCCAAAATATTAATAATAAACACAAAAGTATAATACCAATAATAATTTTTATGATATATGATTACTTCAGAGTGCAAGATATGTCATATGATCATGATGTCATGAAACGCAACCTCTGCGTTTTACTGTGATCACAACTTTCTGAGGAAGTCAAGAAACCAAGACTTGAGCTGCAATTCTCTTCAATACAGTGTTTTAGTTGTGCGCCTCAATTTTCTCCACTCCATGTCACCATGGTCCAGCACACTCGCTTTGTTGTTTGGATCTGCGAATCCCTCCACATTTGCCACTATTTATTTTATCTAACATTTATGATGAGTCTATTTGATCTTATACATTTTAGAGGGCTGTCAAACGATTAAAATTTTTAATCGAGTTAATTACAGCTTAAAAATTAATTAATCGTAATTAATCGCATTTCAAACTATTGGCAAATTTTTCTGTAAATGGTTGTTTGAATGGAAAGATAAATGACAAGTGTACATATGTACTGTATTTGTTTATTATAACAATAAATCCACATAAAATGGCATTAACATGATTAACATTCTGTCTTTATGTGGTAGACACTATTTTTTCAGCTCGACATATTCCGCATCAGCTAAAGCCTCCTCTTTCTTCTTCTCTGTCTCATAAAGGCTGTAGATCCTCTTCATTATTGAAGATATATTTGAAAAAAGTCTAAAATGCATGTCAGCCAACGGCTGTCATTAAATCTGTTTGATTTGCTCACAACATTTCATTTTTGGGCACAACCAACATGAAATGGTAGTGCAAAGGAAAAGTTAGGTACCCCAGCTTTAATATAGCGTCTTATTTTCGCTTCGGGAGAAGACACGGGGGAGACAGACTGTTTCTTGCAGCGCTGTTTTTATTGTGTGCACTGGTCACGCCAGTGCATGATCAGTGCACACAGTGATCCTGTGCGTGTATATGGCCTTGGGTACATGGCCAGGTTACGGCTGCGAGCTCCCGTGCTGTTGAAAGCCGCTCACAGCTGCTGGACGCGGGAATCGATGTCCGAAGCGGCCGCAGCTGCCCCAGAACGCTGCGAACTCCAATTCACAGCAATTGCCCCGCGGTCACGCGCGCGGGGTGCCAGTCACTTGGCACCATAGACTGTATATATTGACGGACAGAGTCTCGCCTATCTCCGCCGTTCTAACTAATGGGCCAAAACTAGTGCTCTACTGGAGCTATCCAAAATGGCCGCGAGTGGTCCCGCCCACAAGAAAATTGTGAAAAAACGCATCTGCGCATGCGTCAGCCGGCGCAGCTCCATTCATTTGAACGAGAGACTTCAAATTTCACTGCGAGTAAACT